CATAATTAAAGATTTCTGGCCCTTAATACTTACCACATTGCTCTTCAACAATAAATATAGCCTCCAAGCAAATGTGAAAGTACAAAAATAAATGTGTTTTCCTTTAGAAGTCCTTTATAAAATTAGTGTTCATTGCATAAAATATTGGATGATGTCAGAAAATTCCAATACATCTATAGAATGGACATTGAACATTTTCACCCATGTTCCCCTCTCCATCTTGCTTCTTGATGAATAAGATGAGAAACATCAGTCAACTAATTTAAACTATTGCTTTTATTGTAATTACATGGGAGCACAAATAAATAAGCACAAAATATTGTAAAATATCGTCAATGCACTAGAGAAATCAATTTGTTTTCAAACAACATCTGGTTACTTCAGTAGTATCAAAGTACATATATAATTACATATTACCTAAAAAAATCAAGTACAAAAATTAAGAGACATTAAAACATCAGTGTTTATATTATTATATATATAGAAATGCCTAAGAACACATGAATAGAGAAATCTGTTACCTAATGATTATTTGCACAATTTTCAGGCACATACCTGACATTTCTAATGAGTTATGAAAAAATGCATTATGACATTCAGAATTTTAGATTTGGTAAACATGTTAATGTTGGAATTGATGTTAAATGGTTTTCTTTAAAAACCCTGTCTTTTAAAAATGTAGTGCCATCATCCACTAAAAAACATATTACTTTATATCATTTTTCATAGCTATTTTTTCAATTGTTTAAAAAGTCAATAAAGTAAATATACAGTTGCTAAATACGTAAACACGCTTTTAGTGCAAGATAACAAAACTGTGACTTTACTGTGCTTTGATTTTTTATATAATCACAGTGCACTTTACACAGATTGCTACACAATAAATGTTGAGTTCCAAAGAAAAGAAGTGCATACTAAATGTTTTCATATATACTATATACAGCATGTATTCTGTATGTGAATGTATACATGTTTAAATATAAATGCCTTTAGGGTGGGCAAACCCAGTTATATTTGGGAAAAAGTGAACACTTTGAATGAGTTTCACACATGTTTAATTGAGATAAATTCAGCAGTGTTACGTTTAAAAATATTTCCCCTATGTATGAAGTTTTATAATGTTTAAAGGGAAATGTAATTAGACATTATTTTCCAGATTATACACATTTTACTCCAATATAATTGACCCAAATATCAGAGGGCTTTAAACCACCCAAACCCCAAGCCGTAATGCTTATGTTTAATATGGCAAAACAGTGTTATCCTTTACTGATTTACATAGCAGTACATATAGAAGCTTACACATAAACATGTGCTGCACCCAGACAATAAATTTAGTGTGTTTTCATCTTCTATTTTGACTGTACACTTGACCAGAAAACATTAAGAATGTTTTATATATAAGCACATAAGAATTGTCAAACGTATGACAGTGTATATCTTCATTAAAAATTTTCTTTATTTTGAAAATATTAATGATTGTGTAATGAAGTTCGTTGATGGCAAAGACCACATCTATTTCAATGTTGAATTATAAGTGCTTCAGAAACTTTGTTTGAATGAGTGATACAGTGACAGGTTGCTAACACATTGTCCACATTCTACAATTAGCTAGCTATTCTTCCACACAGGAAGATGTAGTAAGCAATCTTAAATACGACATGTATCTTTTCTATTTTATTTCCATTTAAATGTAGGACAGAATGCATGTTGAACTGATAGTCCAACCTGACTATGTTCCTTTCCAAGTGTGAATTATCACTCATCTCAGATTACTTACTACATAAATCACAGGAACTTTAAAATTTTTATCTGTCAGCGTAGTTAATTTATAATATTTATGTTAGAAAACTGACTCAGCTTAATATGCAAGTCATGTGAAAATTGTACCTGTAGGTGTATTTGTTCTGATTTAATTGATTTGAGTTCATTAAAGTAATAACCTGATAAGACTGTTCAGGTGTGGAGACTTCTTTCTTTAACTTGCTCAAAGAAATCAAATGAGACTCTGGGCACAGACAAAACCTACACCTATGCCAAAATGTATAAGAAAACAGTTTCTCTGTTTTCTGGAAGTATTCCACAAAGACCTTGTTGCTTATCAACAGTTCAAAGTGTATTTTGAAAAGTGATGTTGTATCCACACAATTTCTCTGCATCATAAGCTGTGTTTTTATACATCTTCCTCTCTTAATATTTTTGCTTTACATTCCCAATGATTATACAACTAAAACTTTATCCTTATTTCCAAAACTGCATTGCTTTTTACCCCAATTTTTCTTCAGTAGCATAGACAGGAAGATACCAACAGTGTATATCATATATTCCTCATACAGTGCTGGCCTCTGTGATAGGGAAAAGCACAGTATTTTATTCTTTCCCTCTAGTAAGAAGTATTTCACATATAAAAGCATCTTACTGACAGTCAATAAAGTCCTGTTTCTATAACATTTTCTGTGAAAAGACCATTTGTCACAGGTATGAGCTCTTTCTGCCTGATAGCCACGACTTGATATGATTTGTCCTTTGGCACCGCTAGAAATACGAGCTTTATCATGACATCATGTGTGTTATCTTCTGACGAGATTCATACAGTGAAGTGCCCTGATTTATTACTGCCAAAGAGTCAGCGTGTTTTCTTTCTATACTAATGACTTTTTTCCACACAGAGAAGCACTTTATAAATAATGTACTGCAGAGTGACTCCCACCACTGAGGACGACTGCGTAGTGTAAGGTACTGAGGAACAGCTCTCCAGTCAAATTTAAGTGAAGCCGTTTTTCCAAACATTCCAACTCTTTCCCATGCAGGAAGAGGTTAGGGGAGATAAATGGAAATGGTTACATAAATTTGAATTGGCAACACTGGCTGATACATTAAGTTTGACAGAAATAAAAAACCTGAATGGCCGAGTCCATCACACATCACTGCAGAACCCCTGTTTCCTTCTGGACAAATGACCAACATTAAAAATTATCTTCTGTCTAATTCAGAGTGATATGGGCAAGATCAGCCTGTGAAAAACACGTGTAGAAACATATTATCTAAGCTTAAATTTCAAGGGGCATCATCCTTACTGCACTGGCCTGAATACACATGTACTAAGATCGTAAAGATGCCTGAGCTTGATTGATTGCCTTGACATATATGGTCATAATAACTTAAATCAGGATAACAACTTGGGTCATAAACACATTTTATTTTAATTATGATTTTACTTTAGAACATCTCTCTCTCTCTCTCTCTCTCTCTCTCTCTTTCTCTCTCTCAGGCTTGTGCTATTGATTACTGGGCTTGAAGTATCAATCTATAGCTGGTAAAGCATGGCAACAGAATTAATTTAAGTTACTTAAGATCTCTCTGTGATTTCCTGCATTTATGATTTTGCTTTTATCACCATCTCATCTATACAAGCAAAACCTCAAACTTCAGTAAGCATTTTATATATACAGTTCTCCCACTGATCACACACACACACACACACACACACACACACACACACACACATCACATGCTCCCACTTACCTTTTCCTTCAGAATTACAGTTGGACATCAAAACAGACATTGATTATAAAACATAAAAAATTATGCTATAACATTTCAAAGGCTCTTCAAGGAACTATTACTGATAAAGCATTACTAGATTTTTTAATCAATATAGATTACAAAACCCCCTTAACTCCTGTCATATTTGGTTTTATTGAGCAGCACAGAACTATTGCTGTCAATACCCTTACAAGAAAAACTGCTATGACTGTAATTTCAAACACACACTTTTTCCTTTCAGAAATATAATACTAAATTGATTGTTAATGAAGAACCACATACTGTCCATTTTAGGGAGCATAAATAGTAATTTAAATATACAAAATATATGTGATAGGTTCCTTTTTATTTATCCGTGGCAAATTTATATTCAACTACAAGTTACTTTTAAAAGATATATACCATTTCTTAACTTAATTTCACCACCACATAAAATTGAATCCACACATCCTTTATCTATCCCCTGCATTTCCTGTTTCTTCCTTGAAACAAAATGAAATTAAGAGTGGTCATAATTCTTTGGTTGTGATATCATAATCAGTAAGAATGGGTATGGTGTTTATGCGCAGAAGATTATGACCCAGAAATATGATAACTCACTTGAAAAAGCTGACAAATATTTTTCCATTAATAGACATAAATTTTGAGGAAGATTGGTATGTAGTATACTAAAATATGTAAATGAGGCTAGTTGAATACTTTTCTTTTCCAGGGGGCAAATTTTGGACAAAAAATGTTATTTAAAAATGGTGGCCACGATGCCCCTGATTCCACTTTCTTGAAAACAGCTCTTAAGCTTTTGATTCCTTGCTCCTTCTGTTGTCACAGTGAACCCTGGTCTCCTCCAATCAGATCAATGATGCAAGGACACATGTCCCTAAAGTCATTTCTGAAGGAACTTTCTGCTGGCATGTCCAAACATATCCTACTAACATTCTCTGGAGTCTGACTAGCCAGTGCTTCTTACAAACACCAGCATACGCAAGAGAAATGCTCATGAAGTCTGTATAGTAAAAGCATTGGTGTCGATCTAAAAGGATGCCCAAATTGACATCATATTTGCATTCATTTTACATAGAACCTTTAAAAGCTTAGAAAGCAGCAGTTGCCCTTAACAAACACGATATTCAACTTCTACTTAACTAGCACCAGATCATATATTGTATGATTGAATATGACTTGTAACTGTGAGTTTTGTCCATAAGTCAAATGTGGGCAGGAAAAAAAAAACACTTTAAATGCAATAAATAATAATAAAAGGCATCCAGGGATTACATATAAAAAAGATAACAAACCAGTTAATAGCAAATTATATCATATAGTAAACTCTTCTGATATTTCTGTACTTTAAATACATATAATGAGAATTATTTCAGGTGTCACCCATAAACTATCAAAATATTTACAGTTCAATATATTCTGGATTCAAAATAATCTGTAATAAGTAAGTGTGCCTTAATTGCAGGTATATACATACACACTTTAGTTTGGACTTGCCACAGGACACGCAGATTCCCGTGGTATTCCACATCAACAAGAACACAGGTAACAATTAATGATCACAAGACCAAGTTGACTTCCCTTGTAGTAAGCAATGTGGAGCTCATGCCATCCGGTACACATTCATATGGCAGTATCCCAGAATACCGTTTGCTGTTTGGAATAGGGTGGAGGGCTGTATTTCTTTGCACCTGCGTTCTTCTTCCAGCTGGGTAGGATTGGCATGCTATCCTGTTTGCAAAGGCCCTTTTCCGTTTTCTGTCTAGCCTTTATTTCCTTGCACAAGCAACGCTTTTTCTCAATCATCTCAAGCATCGTATGGTCTCCATGAAACCACTGCATGCATGCCACCTAGCAAAAAAGAAAGAGTGAATACAGAAGAAAAAGATGGAATGAAAGCACATCTTTTGCATGGTGCTAGAAGCTGTTCAGAAAGATGTTAGCTAGCTCTACACCTCCTTTAAAATCTCTTAAAATGAACTGAGAAATGCAATTGCTTTACAAAGTGAAAATTACAGCATGGAAACTGTACGTAAAACTTTATCTCAAGTTGGTAAACATCATAACATTGTTTAGTAACAGCTTGGACATGAATATTTCCCAATATGTTTTTAAAGTCCACAATAGGGCCAATGAGATGGCTTGGTGGGTAAAGATCCTACTTGCGAAGGCTGATGGTATGAGCTTGATTCCTGTAAACCACGTGGTAGGAGTGAACCAACTCTCACAAGTTGTCCTCCATCTCCACTCACCATAGCACACACACACACACACAGTCACAAAATAAATAAATATAAAAAGTTAAGCCCACAACAGTGAAATAAAACTTTTTTATTTTTTAAACAATTTTCCAAATATTTACCAGTATTTTAAGCTATTTCCATTATTTTACTAGTCCCAATATGTCTAAAATTCAAATATTAGAAATATTTTTCAGTGAAATTTAACCTCAATGTGATACTTTTTAAAGATGTTAATAACCATTTTCATTCTTGAAATAAGTTTTCATTACTTGGGTTTGTTTCAAAATAGACTCTAGTAGAATGGATATTTTTAATAATTTTTCCTGATGAAACGGTTTTAGGTGTGCAATCTCAGCTTGGGTCTAAATGTTCTACTAATTCTTCTGCAAAGTGTTTTTGCTGTAGTTTTTGATGCTTCAGCAAATGTGTAAGTTAGAATCTCTATTACCCAGTGCATGCGTACTGGTGAAGACCCTAATTAGCTAGAGGAACTTAGAAAGATTCATCAGGTCAATTGGGTTAACTAAAGAAGGTTCAGCGTGATCTGTATATTGAATATACATTAATACATATGCTATTAGACAGGTGAACACTAGTCCATATATATATATATACATGAAAACTAATTCATTTATATACATAAATGGTATATGTAGTGCCATGACTATTGATAACATTCTTTGGAATGGAGTGTGTCACATAAAGAAAGCCACGCCATCAGCCCATCAACTTAACCAAAACAGGGAAGATTGCATTTAATTATTTAAGCAGATATCTTCAATAACTGAAGAGTTAAAATGAAATCATATGAAATCAGAAAACTTGGTATTATGTTTTTAGGATGGTGACCCAAGCAAGTCCTTATGTGATTTTTAGTCCACATCAGTCATTGCAGTGCTTTTCATGATGTAATTCACTTACTCCTCACAAGAATGATGCTCTGGAGTAAATCTCATTCCATGATCCATAAAGATGAGTGACATGAGACATCAAGAAATACGGTAATGCCTCAATTTACAGAAGCAACTAATGGCAGAATGGGGATTTGAACCTGCATTCATTTCCTACATCTGTGCCTTTAATGGCTACACTGTACTAAGTAGCCTAAGCACCAGAAAGGATGAAGAAGCTAAATTAGTAAAACTCTTGGATGTACTTATAACAAATCTAAGACTTCAAGAAGCTATTTATCTTCCCCAATGGCAGATGTGTAGGCCTGATAAATAGAATGATCAGAGTTCTAATCTATTAGGGAGAGGGCAGGACCCAAAGCTCGAGAAAACATACATTTCAATATTGGATGTGTCAGATGTCTACTAATCACTCAGTGTCTTAAATACTTTATCTGGACAACTTAATACGTTACTTTCACAGTTGATGTGAAGTTTAAGGAGGAAAATGAAGGTTGGCTCAGTTTTAAAATGGTCCAGCATAGGTTAAGTCTTAATATTTTAAAACTGACAAATGCCTGCTCTCCAATAGGCGTGTATGCAGAGCTCTAACTGGTAATATTGATCTTCCCAGCCATTCTGACAGGATTATGTTCCCAGTACAATTAGAAAACTGAGATTCAGATAGTTTAAGGAATTAAGGCCAAAGTCAATAAGCAATCGTCAGGTCTGTCTGACTGAAAGCCAATATACTATACTAGAGAATGCTCTCCCTCCTAAGTTTTATTTAGAAATAGTAAATAGTAATATTTGTATTATGATTTTAAGATATTACTAAAGTGCAAATGTATTTATGGCTTTATGAGTGAATAAAAAATCTATCAAGCGACTAATTCAAAATCAATATCTGAATTTAGAACCAAAAGATGGCATTTGTACATAAGTCTGCATGGATTTAGATGGTCATGACTGCACATGCCTTTAATCTCAGCACTCTGGAGGTAGAGGCAGGCTAGCCTCTGTGAGATCAAGGGCAGCCTGCTCTACATAGGGAGTTCCAGGCCAGCTGGGACTATAGGGAGACTCTGTCTCAAATAAACAAACAAACAAATACAAGCAAACAAAAAGAATGCATGGTATCTTAAGATATTCATTATAACAAATTTCCCTATTGAATCCCACCCACATTCAGTCGGTTATTTTTATGCCATTTATTAGAGTGGTAAATAGAAACCTAAGGAACAGAAACAAATTTCTTAAAATCACAGTTAACAAAGTTAATCTGTGTTTATTGTTCACAATGCATGCTTATAATCCCAGGACTAGGGAGGCTGAGGCAGGAGTATTGCTGCGAGTTCTAGGCCAGCCTAGGCTACATAGTGAGTTCAAGCTCAGGCTGGGCTACATAGCAAGACTTTGTCTCAAAAATAAATAAAATCTCCTTCTGAAGAAATACAGTAGTCTCCTCTTATCAGTAGTTTTATTTCCCACAATTTCAGATACCCACAATCCTAAAATACTAAATGGAAAATTCCAGAAATAAATAATCTGGAGTTTTTAAATACTTTGTATTACATATATTTTTATAACTATTAAGTTTAATAACAATGAACTACTAAGAATCAAATCTGATTAACATAAATTTCTGAAGCTATGACTCAAATTATTTTAACTTAATGACTAGTACTCCAGATTTATATAGTGTGTATAGACATGTTTATATAAATATGTATACATACATATACACCCTTTCATATAATCCATAAATATTGACTGCACATTTTTAGTTTTTCAAAGGCTAGAGTGCAGAACTATAACTGAAAATTCACATATAATGAACTCAGGGGCTTTTGAAACCTAATTCCAGAAATAGCATAGAATGAATGAAATTATTATCTCTGATGAAAAAGAAAGATCTTCAGCAACTACCAACTCTCTCATTGAAAAGAGTTAAAGGCAAGGAGACATTTCCATTCCTGCTAGCAATCTCAGCATCCAAGTATGAGCAGGTATAGCATAGTCTCTAACAAAAATTCCTTTTCTCTCTAAGAAGAGTCCAGGCCCATCCTGCAGCAATTATTCCTAGTATCTCTAGAGAAAGCTATGCTCTTCAGCAGGATGGTGAGGCCAAACTAAAGTAATCGAGAATTACTGCTTACTTCCTTATAGGGTAGTATAAGGAAGCAGCCCAGTGTGGACTCCGGAGAAAGAATGAGCCCAGGGTAAGTACGGTAAACATGGGCAAGTTGTACTTCAAAAATTATCTGGACTAGTGCTTCTCCAAAATTTTGTTCTCAGGACTTCTTTGTATCCCTAAAACTTATCAAAGATACTAAGAGCATTTCTTTATGTGAGTTACTACTAATGATAACTAACCTCTTAGACAAAGTGAAAAATTTTAAACTATTTCTTTACGTGAAAGAATAAAAATTTGACACATGTTAATATTAAACAATTTATTAACAAATTTCTATGGCTTCCAATTGTAACATTATGTACTAACACAGTTCTTATTTTGTATTCCTCAGTATTTATTTTAATGTCTTTTAAAAAATCAGCTATTCATTAAAAAAAAGAAGAAGAAAAAGAAAATGAAGAAGAGGAGGAGGAGGTGGTAGAGGAGGTATCAGTCACTCTGTGGGAACTTTTTCATGGCAGGGAGGCATGGTGGCAGAGGTGTCTGGAGGAGGAGCAGAAGTTAAGCCCTACATCTTCAAGCAGGGACAGGAAGTAGAGTGATTAGAGATCTGGCAAAGCTTTAGAACTCTCTAAGCCCTCCCCTAGTGATATGCTTCCTCCAGCATGGCCACACCATCTAAGACCTCCCAAAACAGCACCACCAACTGGGGACAAAATATTCAAATACTTGGAGCCTACAGGAGACATTCTCATTCAAACCACTACAAAGAAGGAGCGGGGAGGAGGAGGACGCAGGAGTCTTAACGACACAGTTTCCTGAAAGGATAGAATGTATTTATGCTTTCTGATGCCCTCTAGTTCCTATCTCAGAACCTTGGGCATTAACATTTTAAATAAAATTGAGGAAATCTGATGACAAGTTTGTATCTCAATAATAAATTGTCATCATGATCACAAGGCTTAAAAAAGACAGTATTTCATAACATAATAATCTAAGCAATAAGAATACCATGACTATTTTGGTGGAAATAAGGATTTTATTGAGTGGCTATGATAAACTATCACAGTCAAACAGAATATGGTCTTCCTAGGGATAAACCTGAATTATCATCTCAGGAGTCTCAATCTGTAAAGGAGTTCTAGGTCCCCAGTAAGATTGTATGAATTTATTAGAAAATATTATCATTGTAATATTTTTGTTGTCTCCCCTAAAAAAAAATCGAGTAGTCTTCCTCTTAGTAAACGATATAAAATTAGAAAGCATTGAAACCTCCTTAAGACGTTTTACAGCACCACAGACACATTTGCATCTATTTACATGACTGTGCAAACATTATATCATGTATTATGTAGCTCTTTCTGACACTTCTATGGAGTGAAATCAGTATGTGTGATTGCAAAACAATTTTCAGGTTTGCATCAACATAATTATCAATGATGTAATGTATAGCCATTAAAATATTCCATTGTATTATCTATAATAAACTTATAGTTCTGTTTATATTTGAAATTTCTGCTATATAGATGTAGTAATGAAGAACAATACATTATTTTTACCTGAAGAATAATAAATCAATAA